GTAATAAAATTAATTAGTAACAAAATAATAAGTGGCATCATTGACAATTGTAATAGTTACTCTTAATAATGGTAATGATTACTATTGAAAATAATAATTGTAATTATTATAAATTATAACTGTTACAATCAAAGATGGTAACTGTAACCATCTCAAATTGTAAAAATTCTGAAAGAAAAAATAATATAAATTTACTTAATTAAATCCTTTATTTACATCCATATTTTAGCTAATGTACATTTTTTTCTTTGAAATATTAAAATATTATAAATTCCTTTCAAAATTTTTTTTTGAAAATTTGATTTTTTTGATTTAAAATTTTAATTTTTTTTTTTTTAATTTGAATTTTATTGAAAATTTTGATTTTTTTTGAAATTTCAAATTCTTTTTGAAAAATTTGGCGTTGAAACTTGTTTTAATCAGGATGGAAAATACTACAATTCAGATGGTTTATTTAACTATTTAAATAATATTTACTACTATCGAATTAAGTTAATAAATTTAAATATAACTAGATAATAAACTCTACTATAAAATTTTCTCCGTGCATATAAATTTATATGGATTTTTTTGATAGAATACCTAATATCTGAAATTTCTTTTCACTACAGATGTCACTGAGTATAATCTCGAATGTTATCTAGTGTAATCTTTTTCTTTTCGTGTAAATATGGAAAAAAATATTAGTTTCGCTATGGTGCTTAAAGTATAAATGATTTGAGCTTTTACCTTTTTAAATTCATAAAAAGAACTAATAAATTTTCTCTCCAACAGCATATGGAAAGACATAAGTCTAAACGACAGTCTAACACACAGAGAACGAGCTCAATACGCGGTTTGGGATTACCCAGTAGACGATGAGTTCTCAAGAATAGTTTCTCACATGAGCGAATATGGTTACCCAGAGTCAAAAGAAGACGCTCTAAATAGAATGTTTGGCCTTCCTCCGTACACCAATGAATCAAATTTTGCACTCATTGATGAAGCTACTGAGTTGCGCTATTGGGCTTTGACGAACTGCTCGTTCTTTCTATTTGAAGGGGAATTTACAAAGAAACCATATGCTATTGCCGTCCAACAGGGGTCTCCTATCAAGAATATATTTGACCATGCGTAAGTGTAATTCTTAATTAATTAATCAATTAATCCTAATAACTTTTAAAGGGCTTGACCGATCAAAACGCGGTTCTAATCAGTTCTTAACTGCAAACCTCGAATAGGGCTTACTTTATAATTATAAATCGCAATTTTTCTGCTTCAGACTGATCGAACTGGAGAAGAGTTACACAATGAAAAGACTGAAGGAGAAATGGTGGGACAACAACCCCAAAAGAATGTACAATTGTCCTGAGCGGATAAACAGAAGCGAAGGCCTTCACATCGGAAATATCGGTGGTATTTTTATCGTGCTAGCCGTCGGAAATGTAATTGGCGTTCTTACAGTAATATTACAGTACTGGTGGTACTGCCTTAGATCACGCACGCGCCTCGGACAGCTGCTGGAAGATGGCTTCTCATTAGACAAGGTCAAGCCGAAGAAATTCAAGGTCAAGCCAATGCTTAGAAAAATTACCCGCCCGGACAAAAATCCTTCGACGGGAGTTGATATCGAAGAGTTGTAGAAATTTTGATTTGAATTTCGCGCGCTTAGAGGTAATAGGTTGAAAGTGGCGCTACGTTGGTGGTCTGAAGTCGAAGGTACTCACTTGGGATTTTTGGTATTATGAGAACATTTTTTATGACGTAGCTAGCCTATGAACGTTTATGTAATAGTTTTCAATTCTTCTCTTTAGTTATGGAAGTTTTAATCCAAGTTATGCTCAAGTAAAAGTAATTTTGTGATAAAAGTATTTAATCATATTTTATTTTTCGAATTTTAAGAATTGGATTGATAAATATTAAAAAAAAAAAAAAGACAAAATTCACATTTTTAATTTAACTTTTGGTATTCCGAATTTTAGTAAGTTTAAAAATCATAATAATTAGAAAAATGCGCCGTTCTTTAAGGAAGTCCTTTCGCTCCATTTGAGTCACAACAACTGTAGTAGTCAATATTCGATAAATTAAAATAAAAAACTCATAAAAATTCCTAAAATTAAAAAATAAATAATATATGAGGCATTAATCGTTGAAATTTAAAAAAAATTTTTTTTTTTTAATTTTTTTTCTCGTTACGGTTTAATTTTATAGACCGAAAAAAAATAAGTTTCTGAAAGTTTCAGTTCAAAATTTAAATTTTGAAAGGTCGCTCATAATTTTTTTTATTTTTCGTTAATTAGTGATATCGCCGACTTTAAGTGTTGGGAGTGGTACGTTGGGGGTCTTTTTGGTTTGAAAACATCTTAACCTACGCGGCAAGATAAAATCTCAACCAAGCTGGTTTCTAAGACCAGCTTGGAATTCGAACTCACGCCTGTATCGTTATACCGTAACGAAAAAAAATAAAAAAAAATTTGATTTTTGACGATTTTTGAAATTTTCAAAAATTTGGAGTGACCTCTTAAAAATTTTTTTTTGAATTGTCCTTTGGTGAGGGCTCTTAAAACATCAAAAACTAATATTTTTTCACTCGAGACTCAAAAAAAAAAAAATAGTCGGTTTTTTTGCGCCACCCTACTGAATATCTCGACAACCTTATTTTGAGTTTTTCTTACCTCATCTAATCGGTGGTTAATGCCATAATTCGAGAAAGTTGTTAAAGTCTGACTTTCTCGTAAGACTTGGAAAAAATATTAACATTTTTAGAAATTTTTTTTTCCAAAATTTTCACGGTGAAGAATAAATTAAACTTCACTAGTAGATACATAAGGACTTTAACTATTAGATAAAAATTAATTTTATGGATAATCTAATATTTTTTATATAACATTGATGGCGAAAGGACCTCCTTAAAGAAATTTGTTGAATTTTGTAAACTAAAAAAAGAAATTAATGTTCCTGGGATATAAATTTGTTAGATAAAATTTTTCAGAAATTTTTAACAACAAAATTACTTTAAGTACTTCTTAAAATATGAAACTACAAAGTATTATTCGCTCCGAACTCACATTTTTTGTGCGTTTGTGATCAATCATGAAGTTCCGTCTATTAAGATAGTTCCAGCGTGGTGTATATTGTGGTCAGAGCTTATACTACGGTCGGAAAGTTGATACAATTGTGAAATCATTATTTACCATAGAAATATCATATTACATCTCGACAATAAAATGATAAAGTGCTACTTTTTTTAGTAAATGTATCAAAAAAATATTCTTTTTTATTCTGCTAGTTTTTTTTTCAATTCTGTCGAGGAATTTTTTAATATAACAGAAAAAATTAACAAAATCTGTCAAAAAATAGTTTGTAGTTTCACGCTGGAATTACCTCAAGGCACAAGTCACCTTATAGAAAATTATATGAAATTTATTGAGAGTGAAGTTTTAAAAATTGTCACTTTTGACGCTAGTCTTATATTCTTCGGAGCGAACAGTTTCTTCTTAAATAAAGTATTGTATGAAAATGAAGTTAGCCGACATTTCAGAATTTTTAGAAATTTTTTATTGAAAAAATTTCAATTAAACAATTAAAAAAAAAAATTTCACATGTAAAAAACTTAAAAAACTATAACTGCAATTTTTTATAAATGTCTTTTTAGTTGCAATTTAATTAATAAAAAAAATTAAAAATTTTTAGGCGTTTGCTAACTTCAGTGTCATAGTATTGTTGCCTAGTTAGGGAGATTTGAATTGTTAAAGTCTATTGAAAAAATGAAAAAAATCCCTTTATTCGTGTGATGAATTTTTTTGTAATTGTAAATTATTTATTACCGTAAAACGAAAAATTGAGATTTAAAAAAAATAAATTATTTATTGTTTGAAGAATTTTATTAGGAAAAAAATCATATTTTTTACGGTAATAAAGTTAAAGTGTGTAATTTTTAACATTTAATACCGATTATTTATAAGTGTTAAGTTTAAACTATTCAAAGAAGAAATGTTTAAATTTTGAGGAAAATCTCTGTGATTCAATTTTACCGTACAGTATTATGAATTTTTGAAAAATTAAATTTTCTCAGCACTGTTGATGAAAATTTGATGTTATAGATGTGATGTATATTTTTTTAAACAAGTAAAATAAGTGTGATAAATCTTATGTGCAGCGTGGAGCAGTGAAAATTGTTTTTATTGTATGGAAATAAAACATTGTGTAAAGTTCTTCCTATCATTTTTTATCTGAGATTAAGCATTTTAACTAAGTTATTCAATTCTCCTGGGTAAAAAAAAAATATATATATGATTGTATAAAATTATATATAATTCATATATAATTATATAGACATATATAATTATATATCATTTATATAATTTATAATGATATTTGTAACTTTTGTATAATTATATAGAATTATACATAAGTCTATATAATTATTCATAATCATATATATTTTTTTATAGTTATATATAATGTTATTTGTAATATTTGCATCATCATATAGAATAATCTAAACTTCTATGTAATTAACCAAAAATCACAAAAAAAAAATTATATATGATTATATAAAATTATTTATAAATCATCCATAGTTACATATGAATCATATCATTCTATATAATTTTTTTTACTCAGGTGGACATCATAAAAAAATTAAATTTTACAAAAATTATTAGTTTTCTCAAGTTCAAAAATTGTTACCTGGGCTCTCCAGCAATTCTATGTAATTATCCATAATTCTATATAATTATACAAGGCCATTTTTTATCTGGGCTTACAAAATATAATTAGAAGTTTGTAAAAATTGGCGTACTAAATTTTGGTAAAAAATTAACTTTGTTTACGGTTATTCTTCTTTTGAAAATATTTTAGAGGTTAAGTACCTCTAAGACCGAAGAAGAAATTCGGCTCTTGTAGTATCTACTGTAGATAATGGAAAATTTTACACAAATATGTGACTAATGACAATATAAAAATATTTATAAAAACAAATTTTCAAAATTTCAAAACAAAATTATGTAATTTTCTGGTTTATAACAAAATATAGAAACAATGTCGCGTTAAAGATGCCATAAAGGCGTGCAAAAATTTTTTTTTCAGAACTCGATAGAATTATGTTCTAAAAGTATGATACTAAAACGAAAAAAATTTTTTTTTCAAACTTAAAAAAACAAAATTAAAATTTTTTTTAACTAACGAAAAAATTTTTCCTAAATTCAAACGATTTCTTTTAAGTATTATATTTTAATAAATTTTTCCAATAATTGAATAAATTTAGATTCCGAAAAAAAAAAAAAATTTTTTTTACGCATTTATGGCACCTGTAGCGCGATAATATTAAACTTTCGTGGGACAATGATGTGTTGTTTGTTGTTAATAAAATGATAAAAAGAAAAAAAAAATTATATTGTTCTTCATTTCTTCACCTTATGGTAAATGGTTATCTTATTAAATACTTAATCAGGATGAGGAGCGATAAATAATTAACCGTATAAATTACATTCTCGTCACTTTATTCCACAAGTTTCATACATTAAATTCAATTTATTATTTCAATCAAATTCGAACAATTTATTCCACCTTCTCACTTCTAATTTAGTCGATTTTTCACATCTCAATCCGAATTTCCTTCTACATTTCTTCACTCAATCTATTTTTTTTTATAACACATTTTATCATTCATCAATTCATTTATTACTCATCTTGCGTGCTTATAATTTTTTTTTTTTTTCGCAAACAAGAAGAAACTTTAAAATAAATAAAACACAAAAAACAACAAAATAATGACAATAATAATTAAAATAATAATAGTAATAATAATAAACATGCTCTATTTTTCTTCCGCGTTCAATTCTCATTGAATTTCTTCATATATTACTCTCTTTTTTTTTGTTCAGTTTTTAACTCACTAAATTATTAAATTTTCGGCAAAAATTAATTTTTTTTGAAAGAAAAAATTTTTTATATTTTAATTAATTTGATTTTTGAAAAATTATTTTAGGGCTTCAAGAAAAGGTTGTAAGGTGATTAGGAATGTGTTAATAAATAAATTTCTTTTGACTACGAAGATCATTATTTTTTTCTATCAATTAATTAATTTGATGGTTAATTAATTAGTTGAGACTTTAAATTATGATAGTTATAATAATAATTATAATTGTTAATCTATCGATTAATTTTGTTTTATTAATTATTAATAAGGCGTCGATTATTATTAATAATTAATTAAACTATGAGACCCTTTAACGACGTGCTTAATGAAGATAATAATAAATTTATTGACTAAATTCAAAATTAATCATCAAAATTATTTTATTTGATTAATCGTTAAAAGGGTTTTACTATATTAGGAAAAGAAAATATTTGAAATAAAAAAAGAAAAAAAACTCCTGTTTTTTTTCTTTTTCTTCTCATTAATCTATTTCTATTTAATGTTATTAATAACCATTCGTTAATGATTAATCAATAAATTAATGACATATTTTAAGGTTAATTGATAATTAATATCAACTCTCTGTTTTTTGCCAAAATTTTAAAGAAGAAAACATAAAAAATTTTAGAAAAAAATTTATTTTTATCGCTAATAATTAACTTTTTAAATTTGAAGCGACGAATCAGC